TTTTTTTTTTTTTTTAAAGGGTTTTTTTCCTTGGGTTTTTTGGTTGTTTTTGTTTTTGTTTTAAAAGCCCTAAAGCAGTGGATCGAGCTAAATTGGTCGAGCTAGAAACCAAAAAATAAAAAAATAAAAAATAAAAAAAAAGTTGCTTAGTTTTTTTTTCTCAAAAAAAAAGTGGGTTTTGCCTTTGTTTTTTGGGGGAAAGAAGAGGGAAATATGTTTTTTAAAGTGGCAGTTTCCTTCGGGTTTGGAACGGCTTCCAAGGACGGTCCAAAGGACGGAGAGGCTGCGGCGGCTCTTCAAGGCAAAGGGGGAGAGAAAACCTGTTTTTTCCTTCCCCTCTTTGTTGTATATATATAGATATATATATATTGTTGTTTTGTTCGCGTTTTGTATTGTATTTTGTATTGTTTGTATTGGTTTTTCTCTCGTGGTAAAGGCGACGGCGTCTCTCAAGACCAACCAAACCTGGAGCGGGGAAAGGAAAAATAAAAGGGAGGGGGGGAGGTGGGGGATGGGCATAACGACAAAAAAAAAAGGGAAAAAAAAATTGAAAAAAAAAAAGAAATTAGAAGCGAGGAAGAAAAGACACGAAACGATTAGAAGTTGTTATCCCCGGGGAGAATTTAGAGTTTTAAGGGGGGGAAAAAAGAAAAAAAATAACGAGGAAACGCCCTTGGAAGGGGTGGGGGGGGCTCAGCTCTGAGGGGACGTGAGAGCGGCAACGGCCCCGGAGGGGCTTTGGGACGGGGCAAGCCGCGTTTTTCCCCAAACAAACGATAATTTGCGTTTCAAGAGCCCCCCCGAAACCGAAAAAAAGGGGAAAATCCCCCCCGCGCCCTCTGCCCCGCCCGAAACTCCCCGGCCCAGCGCAGCTCTTTACTCACCTCCACCAGCCCTCAGAATGGCAGCGGCAACGCCGGGAGCGGCTTTTTATACCCGGACACGCCCCGCGCCTCGCCACGCCCCCCCGGCCGGCTTCGGCCACGCCTCCTTCCCGTTAAGCCGCCCAACTGCGCCTGCGCAGGGCCCTCAGGGCGCGCGCGCGCGGCCGCCGCCCGCCATTGTCCGCGCGCTGTGTGGCGCAGTTTTAATTCGGGGAGGGCGGGGGAGGGCGCTGCGCATGCGCGGCCGCTCTGAGGGGAGGCAAGATGGCGGCGCCCGCCCCCGCGTGAAGGAGAGGGGCGGAGCGTGAGGGAGAGAGGCGGGAAAGATGGCGCTGGCCTGGGCCGCGGCGGCGCTGAGGGCGGCGGTAGGAGGCGGCGTGAGGGGAGCGGGGAGGCCGCGGTGGGCTCAGGTGAGGCGGGGAGCGGCGGGAGGGGACACCGGGAATTGCGGGGGGGGGAGGGGGGGAGGAGAGGTCGGGATGTGAGGGGGAGGTGGGGGAGGGGAAACGAGGGAGCCACGTGCGGCGGGCGGGGCGAGTGACGTCATTTCGGCGGCGATTTTCCCCGCTAGGGGGCGCGCGGGCCCGGGAGGGGCGCGGTCGTGGGCGGAATTACGTCATTGTCCGCATTGCGATGACGTCATAACGCGCTGCGGACCGCTTTTAGCCCGGCCAGAGTGACGTCACCGCGGGCATTGCCCCCCTTCCCCTCTCAGAGGGGGGCCATGAGGGGGATGGGAGGGGGCGTCCCGTGTGACGTCATCGCTCCGAACACAACTATGACGTCATAAAACCCCCCCCAGGACCTCCCCCGCTTCTGCAGCACCCAAGAAACCCCCCAGGACCCCCCGGCCGCCCCCTCCCCCTACCAGGACCGGCCCTGGGAGTACCTGGAGAGCGAAGGTTCGTGTGGGGGAAGGGAATTTTGGGAATGGGGGAGCCAGGAGGGGTTTTGGGGGGGATCCCCCAACCCATCCAAACCCCAAAAACGTCCCCCCACCCCCAGAGTACCGGGCCACCTACGGAGACAAGCCGGTGTGGCACGGCTACCGCCGCAACCACAAGGGCTCCGTCCCCCCGCAGCGCACCCGAAAGGCCTGTCTGGTGAGTACTGGGAGCACTGGGGGGCACTGGGGACACACTGGGGACATCTGGGGGGGCCTGGGGTGTCACAGCGGGGCTGGGGTCCCTCAAGAGCCTCGGGGAGGGATTGGGGGCGTTCTGGGGACTCTTGAGGCGCCTCAGGTGCCATTTTGGGGCATCTCGGGGGTGTCTGAGGCCTCTCAGTGGCACTTCGGGGGGCACTGGGATGATCTGGGGGTTACTGGGACGTTCTGGGGGTGACTGGGAGCGCTCCCATTCCCTCTTTCCCCTCAGCGCCGGGGGAAGCCTGTGGGGAGCCCCTGCCCCATCTGCCGGGACCGGAACCTGCTCG